TCCCTTCTCCATTCTCCTCTCGGGATCTTGGGCACGCATGCACATGCGCCTGGCGTGAGTTTAAGCCACCGGGCCCGGGACTCAAACCGTGGTCGACTACATGGGAGTCCAGCGACATAGCCATTATGCTAACTTCTGGTCCCTATTTACTTTGAGAGGTTTTGTTATTTTTATTTTTATAACTATTTTTGCTATAGGGAGCATATGCTCACCAGAGAGAAACAGAAAGTGAGAAATCATCCCCCCAGGGGAGATAGCCATGCCATAATCACTTCTCCTTGATTTTCCTCTTAGGATCTTGGGCACGGGTGCACATGGGCCTGGCATGAAGTTTAAGCCACTGGGTCCAGGATTTGAACTTTGGTCGACTATGTGGGAGTCCAGCAACATAACCGTAACCCCATTTGCTGGTCTCAATTATTATTATTTTTAAAATTTGTTATAGAGTGATACAGAGAGAGAAAGCAAGCTGCTAGATCTGGGACTTGAGCCCCAGTCTAGCCATGTGGGAGTCCATCTCCTTAACCACCACACCACCTGCTGGCCCCCTCTTAGGCCCATTTTTAAAATTTCACTTTATTTATTTATTTAATTAATTAATTTTAAAGAATTATTTATTTAATAACTCCATTAAACTTTTTAAAAAAGAACAATTTTATTTAACTTTACTTATTTAATTATTTTAATTTGAACAGAGTGGGACAGAGAGAAAGAGAGGAAAAGTGAGAAAGCAAGCTGCCAGGTCCAGGACTTGAACTGAGGTCCTGTGTTCTGAACTATCACGCCACCTGCCGGCCCTGTTATTATTATTTTTTAACTTGACCAGAGAGAAACAGAGAGAGGAAGGGAAAGTGAGAATGCAAGATGCCAGTGCAAACCATGGTGGGCCATGCAGAGTCCAGTGCCCTTAACCACACCACCTGCTGGCTCCAACCTAAGGCCTGCTTTAACTTGATGGCTTATAACCATATCAAGATTGGGACCAGCAGTTAGCATAATGGCTATGTCACTGAATTCCCATGTAGTTAACCGCGGTTCGAGTCCCAGACCCGGTGGCTTAAACTCACGCCAGGCGCGTATGCGTGC